ACAATTAGAACTGTATTAATTTATTAATTTAGTTTTTAGGAATGAGAAAATGGAAACTATTGAAGCAGAAAAGTATAAAGCATACCAACAAAAATCATTAGAAATAATTTCAAATAAAATAAAAACTGAGTTAATTGCTGAAATGGCCTCTAAAACTAAAGTGTCAAAAAATATATTCTCAAGTATAAAAAAAGAAAATTTAGATAAATTAAATATAGATGAATTGAGCAATATTTTAGATAATTCCACTGATCCTATAGAAATCCAGGTAATTTACTTATCTTTTAATTACAATAATTAAAATTAAAACAGGGTTTCCCAAYTTTTTTATTCAACACCCCTTGTGGATTTTCAAAAATCTTATACCACCCCCTATTGGGAAACACTGTAATAAAATATGAATAATATCATATTAAAAATTATTTATAGTCATTGCTTAGTGAAGAAAAATTAGAAGCACTTAAAGATTTTAAAAAATTAGAGCAAGAAAAATTCTATTATGAACTTCAAAATAGGGTCAATAGAGTGTTTAACGATCAATTTAAAGATGCCCGTAAAGTTATACCTATGATAAAGGTAAATTACATTTACATATATTTTTATAATTAAATTGTATACATTAATGTGTTAGTAATCACTTAAATAAATTGCTTACATTTAACTATATATACAGTAGAATCTTGATTTACTGTTTTCCGGTTAATCGCCAGGTTCTGCACATGAGTTTTGCTTTAAAATTTTATCATATTTTGTGCAATCTGGTTTATCTGAGGCTTTCTCATCTCAATATCTGTTTGATAAGCGTCATATTTCTATGTGACTTCATTATGCAAAAGAAATTAACTGCATTTTTGAAACTACAATTATTGTATACCTATTATATTTTACTATGTATATAAATAGTAATTTAATGTATAATTTTGTTATTAAAAAAAATAGTAAATATGTGTATGAATGTATGTTTACAAAAATGTTCACTTTATTGTTAAGCTGTCTTTTGGATTATCCTACCATAGATATAGCAAATAATATTTTGGAAGAGTGGAATAATACCTTTATAACACTCAAGTCCATATCAATCAACCAAATTTCAAATATATGTCTTTTAATTGAGATTTGAAGTTCTACTGATGAGCAACATAAGTCTATCTATTAAAATTCTGAATTATAAAATAGGAGATATCCATAACAAATTGAGTAATGGTGATTTATTTTTAAAAAAAATTATGCAAATGTGTTTTTAAATGAGAATGTTTTGAACTCTTTAAATTTTATGAACAACTTTCCAAAAATAAAAATATTTGTTAGATTTTTTATTATTTTATTTTGTATTTTTAATATTTATGTAAGTGAATT